TGGTTAATATGGTAAATTTTACGTGTTTTTTACCACAACGAAAAGTATATAAACTGTGTAGATATTCAAAGGATTAACCACACCTTGGATTTCTATTGCTATATCCTGCCTACTTCTTCTACTAGGTACCTGTGCACCTGCGCATCTTGGCAGTGTCCCCTCAAATGCCAGCTTTGCAACGTCTGACTGCCCTCCTAGGAGGTAAGTCTGTACCTTTCCTGTGAGATACTGTGAGTAATTTCATTTAGATAATCCACAGCTGATAAAGCCATTTCAAAATCAATTTCTTCACAGGTAGCAATAATTGTTCTTCTTAGCAGGGCCTGAAAGAGAAAGGGCAATTTCCTGTACATGCATCACTAAGGGAGATGACCAAAAACTGCCTGAGAAAATTGGGCACTACTTTGAAAACCCCCGTGATCACTCACCTTGAAAAAGGTATGCCATAACTCTGAGCTATTCATTTTAGATTGGGCTGGAGATCAAATTGTTCATTTAATGGATGGTAAATAAACATTCAGGAAAATCATTTCCCTTTACATTTTGATTCAAATACTGTTCACCTACAACTAAATCTCAAAGCATGATTGGAAACTTTTTGCAGATGTCAGCAGATTTTGATTGAAAAGTTTTCCATTACCAGAGATTAACAATTAGCAGAAATGAAATAAAAATATCTCATTGATTAAATAAAATTGTTAAAAGGAAACAAAAACAAAAACCTGCTGTGGAAATTTTCCTTTATGGTGTCTCCTGGCATACTCTATTCTATATGAAGAGAACTTTTTCTTTTAAAAAACAGCAACTCTCCTTTCTTCACCAGTCAGTAGTTAAAGCCCCACATTTCTTTCCTCTTTTTTTCCAACCTCCTTTGACTTTTCACATCTCCTTGGACACAACATTTGGATATCAAAAGAATGAAAACAAGGAAAGGTAATTTTTTTTTTAAATTGTAGTTAGAGGAACTATTTAAATTTATTATAAATTATATCCCATATGAAATAGCCCCCAAAAGAGTTCTAATGTGTTCTAATGTGAAGAAATGATAATGTTTTCTCCATGACTGGATGGCCTAAAAATAATTTATATAAATATTGTGTGCATTAACAAACCAAGAAAGCACAGGTTCAACTACCTGCTTAGATTGGAGTTTGTAATACATTTTTAAAGTTGTGCCAAGGAGTTCTGTGAATAGTTTTAAAGAATTTGTAAAGCAGCTTACACTCATTTTATTCTTTCACTGTGACAGGCATTTAAAAAAACACATCATGGAAAGGAATATAAAAATTACTAAGTCATAAGCAGGAGAGCAAATCATTACCTTTTAATTAAAGTAGATCACAGGCTGAAGTAGCTGAACTATGTTGCTTTTCTCACATAGGAAAAAAAAATGTGTACCCTCCTGTTTCTCATATTTTCTATAAGCAGAAAAGAATTAATTATGTCTTATTTGTAGTTCCTATGAATCCTATCAAATTTTCATTAGTTAAGACTAGGCACTATCAAGCAATCATTGATAAAATTTCAAATCTTAGATTCATTTAAATCTAAGAATTCATTTAAATCTTAAATCATTTTTAATCACACCTCTAATTTATGAGACATATTTCAGTTACAGAAGCTAATAATATGTATAAAATAAGCTGATAAAGCACAAATAATGTCCGAGTGAAAGTTTTAATGGGAATAGTGTCCAAATCCAACATATTCAAATTTTGTTACTTTAAAAGAATAAAAGCATTCTTAAAAATCCCCTCAGGTATGGGTCATAGAGGTGTATACATTTGTCAAAACTCCAACCTGTGCACTTTAGCCCTATTTGTTTACCTACATATTAATTATACCTTAATTTTTTTAAATCCTTAATCAAAGGGCCCAGATAGCTACAGTCACTTCATATAAAAGAAAATCCAGAAAATAGAAATGCTCATGCTGTTTGCTGTTGATTCACACAGTCACTTTAAACCTTTTTTATGCTCTTACTTCAACCACTATTTGATCATTGGATCTGGTCTTAGGGGAACTCATGGAGAAGTAATTGAACCAACTCTTTCTGTGCTTTTCACACACCTTGTCCCTCAGTCTTCATGATTTAGAGAGCTCAGGGTAGGTTCCAAAGGGTACATTCATCTCAAGAGAGTTACATAAAAGTACTAGCTTTTTTGTGGCTAAAAGGTCTTTTCTTTGTCCTCTTACCAGGGGAAAATGTTTGGTCTGGGCAAGTCCCTATGGCAAAGCTCTTTGAGGAATGAATTCTGAAGTACATTCAACTCTCTGTCATCAGGAACTTCTAGTCAAAGTGTTTAAAGGAGATATTGGGACATTACCCATCACCACTTTCTAACTCTAAGAGGTGATTTTAGCCAATCTGGAATTTTGATAGATTTCCTAGAACACTTTATAAAAGTGTCTTCATAAAAGCAACTTTGTAAAAGATTCTACATTCACCTAACTAAAAAAAGAAAAAAAATCATTCATAAATGCAAGATTAGTGCCAACCCAAAAGCTTTCAGGAAAGTATTCTTAAAATTTGATAGAACTCTTTGCTTGTATGTATACGATACATACAAATAAAATTTACACAGTACTTTACTGATGGATTTATAAATAATTTTATGAATAAGACATTTAAGTCATAAGGTGAAAAAAAGCTGTGCATAAGGCATGAGTAAAGAAAATAAAAGAAAAGAAGTTTGGCCTAAGATCTGTTCCTACTTGTCTGTACTTCAGGCCTCTCTTACAAGGTCAGTTTGTCAGTCAGACTGATTTATTAGAACAAGAGGGGCGCACTCGGGAGAGTGCGCAGCGACGCTCCCACCGCGGGTTTGGATCCTATATAGAAATGGCCGGTGCGCTCACTGGCTGAGCGCAGTGCGGGCGACACCACACCAAGTGTTGCGATTCCCTTACCAGTCACGAAAAAGACAAAAAAAAAAAAAAAAAAAGAACAAGAGGTAACTCTAATTCCAATCCTTTCCCTTCATTTTACAAAAGGGGAAACTGAGACCCAGTTTCCTGTGACTTGATAATGGTCATTCATGAGAATCAAGGAATAAATTTTTACAATTTATATGATTCTTTACATTTTAAGGTGAAACATTTAAGGTTAAACTTCAATTAAATATTGCTGATGTCTAGAACACTGTTTTCCCAAAATAAGAAAAAAAGTCTGTTTAGAGTCTATGTAATTAAATTAATCAAAAGTACAGTCTGTGTAACCAGTTAGACATGGATTCAAATCTGAGCTCCACATCCTAGTCCCACAATTAACTGGTCGTGTGGCCTTGAGTGAATTGCTGAGACTCGGTTTTAGTACCTACAAAATCATGAAAAATAATACCGAGCTCAAAGATTGCTGTGAGGGAGTAAGAGAGGTCCTGTGAATAAGGTGCCATATGGGTGGTAGCCCTCTAACAGGAGCCGACACTGTGTTTCCAATTCCAAAAGGGGAATGTGCATGTTTACCTTGAAATTGTTTGACTTTGTTCTTGAGCCCTAGGACTAGAGTTACTAAAATATAATAATTTAAAATGTAATTATCAATTTATAAAAAATATTTATTGAGCTTAACTTGTGGTAGGTATTGTGATGGTATGGAAAGAACATAGAATTCAGTTCCCATCCTAAAAAAGAAACTAATTCACATGAAATCAATAGTGACCCCTAAAAGTCCCCATGTGATCAAGTGCTAAGTTGTGGTTAACAGTCAAAAAGTGCTATGAGAAAAGGGACAAGGTAGACCTCAGGAAGGATTAGACATCGAGGTCTCAGTGGAGGAAATATGAATGGGATAGCGATGAAGATGTGGGGTGCAGGTGTGAGGGTCTTTGGGGAGGGAGAGAAAGTCACCCCACAGGAGCCCTCTGCATGAAGGGAAGAAGGCTTGTGTAAGAAGGCCAAGTTCAAAGCCAGGTGGAGCTAACTGAGCAAAATATTCATACCCCAAATGCACCTACACAAGTGCGCTTCAAATAGTTTGTAGAAAATTTGAATTAAAAGATATCCTTCCATGACCTTTTTCGAAGACCCCTCAAATGATTCCTATTCACATAACACTGTACTGTATAGTTACTTGGCTCAGCTATGAAGCAACTGAATGTTGACCTTGTTTTTACTGAGACAGGGAGGATAAAGACTGCATTCAGAGTAACCAGATTTAGAATTAGTACTCACAATCCTAAACGACATTCCTCATGCCTTTTATCCTTACTCCTTGATAATGTTCTTAACCACATTTCACACTTAAAGTTCATCTTTTTAAATAGAAATTGATTTTCTACTTCCACTTTCCCAGAAAGCATTGCATAGGAGCCCAAAGTGCAAGATTCTTGTCCCATCTATGCTATTAACTATCTGTGAAGGCAAGAATGAGCCAGCCAGTTTCTAGGAGAAACTGCTGCATGGGACGGCTTTTTCTGGGACTGAAATTGCACAGATCAAGCAGGGATTTAGCTGACTGGAGGACAGAAGAGTAATATCCAGTGCATCTCACAGCCTGAATTTTTAGCTTCTTTTTTCTGCAATCTTTGGGCAAACCTGCCAGTCACTATTATTTACCTCTATGCCACAAAAATAGAGTTTAAGAATGAATTGGAAGAATTATTTTATTGCTCTGCCTCGTAAATATGTTGAATTTGCATGGCAGCTTTCTTTTTTCCTTTTATCTTTTTGCTCAGGGTAGGTTCCAAAGGGTACATTCATATCAAGAGAGTTACATAAAAGTACTAGCTTTTTTGTGGCTAAAAGGTCTTTTCTTTGTCCTCTTACCAGGGGAAAATGTTTGGTCTGGGCAAGTCCCTATGGCAAAGCTCTTTGAGGAATGAATTCTGAAGTACATTCAACTCTCTGTCATCAGGAACTTCTAGTCAAAGTGTTTAAAGGAGATATTGGGACATTACCCATCACCACTTTCTAACTCTAAGAGGTGATTTTAGCCAATCTGGAATTTTGATAGATTTCCTAGAACACTTTATAAAAGTGGATTGATGGGGAAGGGACGAATGAATAAAAGTACTTGTCCGGGGACAGCAGAGACCCCGAGCGAGCTGTGGAGGCTCCACGGTCTGGCATGCTCTCAGCTCTTCGTCACAGCCAGACCCGCCTTCAGCTGCAGGAAGGCGTGCTCTGCTCCCGGAGCAGGCTGGAACCCAGCGGCGAACCGAGCGCTCCTGCAAGCAGCTCCGAAACCCTAAAAAGAGGTCCCTGCTCGTCGCTCCGCTCCGGGTGCATCCGATCCGCGAGGTAAACTTTCTGGCTTGGTGCTGAGTTAAAAATCAGTGATTGGACCTTGTCAGCAGGGCTTACTAGCTCGGGAATTTTTCTAAAATTTAAAAAACGTACAGATACAGTAAATTAAAATAAGGTTGGGGTAAAGGAGAGCGCGTGAGTGTTTGCAACCACTGGGAGGGGACAGAAGCTTCCAAGTTAATACTGATATTCCCTTAAGTCGGGCCGAGTTGAGAAGCCTCTGAGATTCCGCAGTTCTACGGCGCACTCCTGGGCACCCGGGGGGAACCGCAGCTCAGCCCGCCCGCGAGGAGCGGCTCTCAAACGCCGCGAGCAGTCTCGGAGCTCAGACGCGGAGAATCGGGGTTCCCCCGCAGAGAAAAAGCAGAGACTAACACACGCCCTTGGCCGCTAGGTGCCCCGATTCCCCAACTTCCACGTACCCTTAGCTAAAATACGCATGTCTCCCTCTGTGCACACCGAAGGTTCAGAGCTTTTGCCTTGGACACGCATCCTCCCCTCCCTGCCGCACCCCTTCCAGATGCCCCGCCCCATTTCCAGTGATTTACCTCTAGGCGGGACGCAGGGAAGAAAAACAGCGGGAGAGGGGGTCGGGCAGGAGATTCAGCCGGCGCGGCAGGGCCACGCGCGCCCAAGTGCCCCTCCTGGCGCGCAAACTTGAGATACTTTTGCGCGCGGACAGTGGCGAAGCGGCTGTGCTCTGCTAGCGTGTGCAGAGGCGTGGCCCGGGTAGCTGACCCCAGTGTCCTGCTTTCCTTCCTCTGCCGGTCTCCAGGCTCTGAAAACTGAGGAGCGGCCACCGGACGCCCACTGAGCAGGTAGCAGCATGCAGCCGCCCGCAAGCCTGTGCGGACGCGCCCTGGTAGCGCTGGCTCTTGCCTGCGGCGTGGCGGGAGTCTGGGGAGAAGAGAGAGGATCCCCGCCTGCCCTGGCCACCTCGCCGCTTCTGGAAACCGAAGAGAAAATGACGCCACCTACTAAGACCTCCTGGCCGAGGGGGTCCAACGTCAGTCTGCCGTGGTCGTCTGCACCTGCGGAGGCGCCTGAAGGAGGGAGGACGGCTGGAGCCCCGCCACGCACCATCTCCCCTCCCCCGTGTCAAAGATCCATCAAGATCAAGGAGACTTTCAAATACATCAACACGGTTGTGTCCTGCCTCGTGTTCGTGCTGGGCATCATCGGGAACTCCACTCTGCTGAGAATCATCTACAAGAACAAGTGCATGCGAAACGGTCCCAATATCTTGATCGCTAGCCTGGCCCTGGGAGACCTGCTGCACATCGTCATTGACATCCCCATCAATGTCTACAAGGTAAAGGGCGCCTGCTGGTATCTTGGCAGGCTTATGGAAGGGGGCCCAGCTGGAGAGGGGGAGATAAGAGAGCCTTTAGAGGGAGCTTCCTCAAAAAGATCCATTCCCTCCTAAAAGTCCGTAATCATCGGAACCAGATTCCCTTCTGGTCTTCAATGGCCCTCTGCTAAACCTAGGACAAGTGTAGTTCCCAGACTAGCAGCATTAGTATCACTTGGGAACTTGTCAGAAATGAAGATTTTTTCTGACTCCACCCCAGCCCTACTGAATGAGAAACTCTGGAGTGAAGCACAGTAATTTTTATTTTTACAAGTCCTCTGTGTGATTAAGATGAACTGTAAAGTTTGAGAACGGTTAGTCCTGAAGAATTTAGTTCCTAAGTCCAGCTAACTGGGTACATCCTCTCTACTCAAATTTGTGGTCTGTCGACTGGCAACACTGACATCACCTGTGAGTTTGTTAGGAATGCAAGTCTATCCCAGACTCGCTAAATCAGAATCTGCATCCTAAGAGGCGCAGGTGATTCATATGCACACTACCTTTAGGAAGCATTGTCTTGGAGGACCCTGAAAGTAGGGAGACTGGAGTGGGTTTTTAGGAAACAAGTGGCCTGTATGAAAGAGTCCCAGACTGGTGAGTAGGAAAAACACAGTTCACCTGCTGTGAGTGACTGCAGCTACTCTATATTGAGCACCTACAGTGGGCCAACCATGGGGTTAAATGTGTTACTTCCTTTACTCTTTCCAGCAACCCACAAGTAGATGTTATCCCCATTTTACAGATGACTAATAGGATGCTCGGTGTTTCACAATGAGTAAGAGGTAGAGCTGGAGATCAGGCCTAAATATATCAGGTTCCAAAGTGCAAGCCATTTGACTATACCCAATCAATTATCTTGTGGACAAGACCAAAGAGCACTCCAAGTCTGTAATGGTTTCAGTAGTTAACATAATTGTGTGATTAGTATGGGCATAAGGGGAAACAGGCACAAAGAGCCATAGCAGGACACAAACCCCCACACTCCAGGTTGCTTTGGATCTCTGGACACATCCCGACATCTCTGGGCCTCAACTCTACAACAGTGCTTCTTGTGCCTACCTACCGAGGGCTTGTGGAATTAAGAAACACATCCTAAGTGAAAGAGCTGGAAATTTTTAAAAAGCTATGCAAATATTTAAAACTCTGCCTCCTCATAAGCAGCAGCATTAGAAAGTTGCACATAAAAACACAACCAGAGTGTAAGAGAATGGGAAATACACTTTGTGGGTTTGCCTAAGGCCAGCCCTGGCCTCAATACAAGGGGAAAAATTGGGATATAGGGTTGGGAAAGGTTGTAGGGGACACTTTGACATTTGTGGCAGGAGCAGTTACCATAACGCACGCCTGTAAATTTTCCTTCATGATCTCTGGAAACCCTACTCGCAACAGCCATATTTTAAAGGAATTCCAGACATTTCTGAGGTTTAGAGATGAGATTCGGATTAGAAATCAGGCCCTAGATAGAAATGTGGGATGAATTGAAGAAACCCTAAAGTCCTGGGTGGCAGTTGGTTGTGATGGACTCTGAGGGTTTGCTTGGAGAAGCATGGGCTGAAAATGGATCCCTTAAGTATGGTCACAACTTTATTAAGGAGAGAAGTGACCCATTTACTTCTTAAGGAGTCCCACAGGTTAAGTCCTATAATTCCAATTTGGCAGAAAATTTCAATTCAGTTCATCAAAACTGAATTGAGAAACTTTTTAGTACAAGGCGTGAGAAATTTAAAAGTAAGTGAAACAAGACCCCTCCCAAAAGGGAGATTACAATCTAGTTTTGCTAGGCACGCAGAATTTTGTGGAAGCTCTGGTTACGGAGGTCCCATGAAACCCACACATCTAGTCCATTTAGAAACCTTCCTATATCAGCCAGTGGCCAAAGCGCTGTGCGTGAGGTGGAGTTGAGGACATTTTCTTTCAGTGTGTTGCCTCTAGGCCAGGTTGAAATCAGCTCTTCCAGGACCATATTACTTTCTCTGTCCAGTCAAATGAGTATTTTCAATAAATCCAGAAAATTTCTGACTCCCCAAGTGGGCACTCAGATTCCCTTTCATTTCAAGTTCCTTTATTATTTCCCTTTTCCCTGAAACCATCCAATCTGTTAAAGTTGCATTTTTACCTCTGAAATAAACAGTCCTCATACCTCTGATCATATAGTTATCGATATGGGTCATAAACAAATTCATCACATAAAATTAGGTCCCATTGCTAGGTTTGCCAACATCAAATCCTACCTTGTGTTCCTTGGTTTAACTTGAGACATAATGTATAATAATAGGTACCACTTATTTTGTGATAGGTACTTGGTTTATTTCATTAAATCACTGCAACAACCCTATGGAGGAAGTATTGCCATCATCCCTATTTTAGATCTAGGAAACTATATGTCAGAGAGGTAAAGTAACTCGCCCAACGTCACACCACTGGAAAGTGATGAAACTAGAGCTTGAACCCAGGCCATTCTGGCCCAAGAACCTGTGGTGCTCCCCGTCCTGCTGCACTGAGTGTACTCAGGGGCATTCTCCAACCTTGAGTTTTGTTAGGACCTCATTTAAATGCATTGGTGGAACTGTGTGACACACTACCACACAGTAGGATACTTGGTAAACATTTTCAGGAATTGATTTGAGTCATCTAAGGATTTCTACCTCTTGAAATCCCCTTCAGATGATCTGTAGTGTAGAATATCAATAGTATCAGTGGATGTTATTCTAAAGGCTTTATTTACTAAAATGCCCAGTCCAGGACTGGTTCAAAGCCTTTTATTATTAAATGATTGTGGCACCATAGTCAGTTTTTAAAAAACGCATTTAGAATCTCAGACTAAATAGGCATTTTAACTCATAAAAAGTAATTTAAGTGAATTATGAATGCCATTTATCTAATTTTTTTCTTTTTTTTTTTTTTTTTTTTGGTGAAGTGTTACAGTTCTCTTTGAGAATCCAATATACACAGTTTCTGGGGGCTCATAGAATCCCCCAAACCTTCGGTTGGCACACAAAAGGCCCGGGGGACCAAAAACATTAAAGTGGATCTATTACATTAATTTGGAGTTTAATAAATAGAGTTCAATAAAGTTGGCAAACCACAAAATGTTATAGCTCTTGCTGGAAGCCACAACCTTGATGTGGCTATAGAAGGGGGCGGGGACTTCACATGGACAAGCCAACAGACCTTAGGAAACAAGTCTGGTCTGCCTGGATTCCCTCGAGGAGCTGGGTCCCTGGAAACTTTTCAGGTTGAGTCAATTCACTCTCCAGGTCTCCTGAGGCAGGGGGAAAATCCTGTGTTGAAGGCCAGGAAGGTGTCTTAGGACACTCAGCAAACTGAAGCTGTTTAAGTGCTTTAAACACTCACGTATAAACATGCTGAAAAGAATAAGCCTTGTTTACCCTTCTCATCAACATATACCAGGACTGTGCCTACATTATACAACACAACCCAGATGGAAAATGAAAAATTCAATCATCCAAAGTGGATATTTTAAAATATATATGGAAATGTGTATATACATTTTAGATGTTATAAGAATGTATAGATATGTAAGTAGGTAGATGAATATTACTTGGCACAGGGCCTAGCACATAGTAAGCAAACAATAAGTGTTATTAGAATGTGTGTGTGTGTATATGAATGAGAAAGGAAATTTATGTTTTGTGTATTCTTTTTCAGCTTTTGTCCTTATAAACATAATTACATGTTTGTACATATGGCTTTGCACACATGTGTGACTACATCTAAAGGGTAAAATGCTAGAACTGGAGTTACTAAATCAAAGGGTGTGTGCATTTGTAATTTTAATAGACATTAGTTATTGTTGCACTCTTACTTTTAACTATTTTATATGACATCTCCATATAGATATACATATATTAATATCTATCTCTAATATGCATATAGGTCACTATGCCCAATATTTGTATAGTCAATGTATATACCTGAGCAAAAAGTCAGTGTTTAAATATCTGAAAATAGGGTGAATCTTGCCTTATGTGTCCTATCTACATATATACTAAAATTAATGGGGTAATCTAGATGTTTGTCGCATATGAGAAACTAGTATCTGACTACTAAGTTGTAGTGGAACAGATGTCAATGCTAGCTATGTAGAAAGCAAAAGAGCTGGGTGTACTTGTGGATGCTGTGAAGGTTTTTATGTGTGGTTGCTTGGTTGTTAGGTGGTTTGGCTTGGTTTGGTTTAGCAGCAATTTTTTAATCTGACTCAGTTGTGAGTTGTGGAGAAGTTAAAAATTCTTCAACAAATAATGAGTTTTTAATTATTTCTGGATTTTATTTAACAATTTAACTCTTTGTACTACATTTACATGGATAATTGGGTTAATATTGTTAATTCTCAAATAAAGCTTCTTTTATATGTAAGTAAATTGAATCTGAAAACAAATCTGCTTGTAAACTGATGACAAATATCAGTATCTACATTAACTAGTTTGAAAAGGATCTAAATGTAATTAGGTGTTCAGTGGTGATGGAGAGTTAAAAATTGGACTGGTGACCCACTGGAGTGACACATTGGAGTGCTTTTAGATGGTTTTGCTGTTAAGACTTTGTCAGCTACTATTATAGACAAAGATACTGCCTTCATAGGTCTGAAGGCAAAATTGCTGATCTTTAACGTTTAACTAGTTAAGGTAGGGTACATATGACATTAAAATGCTGGCTGTTAAAATGTGAAATTGCTTCACTGAACCCACAAATGAGTTTTGAGTGAAGTGACCTTGGCAGGCAATCAGACACTTTCTGCTTGTGACACAGTCAGATTTATCTTTCTGAACGAATTCACCTTTCCCACTATCCTATCTTAGACTACTTCTGGTACTTAACAAGTTTGTTTATAATTAACTAGCTCCACAGTTAAAAGTTAAACTTTTAAAGTTGATGGAATACCATCAACTTTAACTTTTGAAGTTATAATTTTCCAATCAGTAAACTGAGGTATATGCATA